TGTTAAAAAATATGGTTGAATAAAAATCTTTTGTAGTTTCACAGTCCGTTTACCTATTTAGTTCACTAGGTACCTATAGACATTCTCTTGTTATAAAACTAGACAGTAACGTCCTTGAATGTATATGCATTTCAACGTGTTTCACGTTTAATAAATCAGAAAGCGGTAGGTCTAATACAAAAAGGTAAAATATTCAGTTATTGTAGGTGACAAAACCAAAGTACATTGTCAAAAAGCTTATCACCCGTTTTCTTCATTTTATCGGCGACATTCTCTTTATTGGCACATCTTCAATACATTAATTAGAATAATTGACAGAAAATTCGATGAACATTGTTTCCAATGATTTTCCTGATATTTCCGTGAAATTAAAAGCGTTGAGAAAATTCAAGTAATAAGGCAGAGTTTAAATAGTTTAAATTTATCTAATAGTATCTAATAACTCACGGGAACAAACTAAATAACGAACCATAATACACATCTTGAGATAACAAAATACACTTCGATGTGGAAGAGGTTTCGACCCCAATCGATACAACATTCGCAAACCGGACATGAGAAAATTCAGCCACAAATCACAAGGGCAGAACGTTGAAGTAAGAAAATCAAGTAGAATTCATTGATAACGATTTTGTACATCCCTCTTAGGTCATTTACTGACTTCTTCTATTATTAAATGTATGCTTGCGGTTAAGTAAATGTTCTTAGTAAATATCCTGAGATTGTACTTTTATTTTTAAAACTTTTCTTGAGTTCTTTTATTCTATCTGAATATGATCTACCTTTCTAACCTAACAACAAAGTGAAACTTTTTCAAATCTTAAAGAAAACTACGCGAAAATAGAAGGAATACACACTAGGCGTGAGCAAGACAGAGAATTTGGAATTTTTTCACGGCTCATCCAAGTAAACGGAAGGGGTGTATCTCTAACCGTTTGAAATGAGTTGTATAATCGCCTGGTCACCACCACAACTAATTTTGACAAATTAGAGATAAATAACAATTTTTGACAATATTTAATACTTACCTACCCTTCCTTTATGCTTCTGTTTCCTATTTAGGAAAGTTCGCATTTAGTTCTAAGTTTAATAATGATTCAATACGAAAAAGTTTAAAAGTAATTATTGTGGATGACAATAAATAAAATTTTGTATTTGTGAACTAACAAGAATTGAATGAATGCCTTATCAACGTAATTATTAATGTATAATGCGATTGAGTGTTCGGTATCCGTGAAGATTAAGCAAGTAATTTTCTGGTCTTTGGTGCGCTTTACCATCGGCGCTTTCCCAGCAACTCGTGAAGGGATTGTCCTATCAGTTAGCGTGCCCTGAAACCCTGGTATCCGCCCTCCTGTCTCCAGCTTACCGGTTAATTAAGGGTCACGTGGCTTTATCGTGGCATAAAATGCTACTATATTAGTGTTTTCGCGTTTAGAAATTGGAAAGGTGCGATAATGCAAATTAGTCCAACTTTGGATTTAATTAAGTCATTCCTGCTCAAATTAATTGACTATAGAACAGTAAATTTTCTGGAGATATATCTAGCAGAGTTGCTCTATTGCCAAATCCTCGACACCCGCTTTGTATTTTCCATGACCTTCAAGGGTCGAAGATAATTTTCTTTTCTTTGAAGTTGCGAATTGTTACTCGATATTTCGACTTGCACCTAGAAAATTCCACATGCAACTAGACCTTTCGACATACAACTCGAAATTTCGAGCTGGAAGTCGAAATCGAGATAAGGTTCTTCTTCTTCCTTTTAGTCATGTGACTTTTCTCTACATATGATTAAGGATAATCANAATATTCAATTGTCCATGTATCTACCATAACAGGTAGTTTTAGTGTTAGATTTACACCGGAGTTAGATCTTGAACATGATCTCTTAAACTTTAATTTTGTTCTCAGCCTGGCAATTCTCTTAAAAATTCTCAATTGAAGCTCTCATACTTCCAAGATTTAAAGCACTATTCCTATTGAATGTTCACGCACGTATCTATTATAACAATTAGCTTTAGTGTTGGATTTACCCCAGAATTAGATCTTGAACTTGATCTCTTAAACTTTAATTTTGTTCTCAGCTTGGAAAGCTCTCATACTTGCATGATTTAAAGCACCAATTCTACCAATTGCTATTCCTATTGAATATTCAATTGTCCATGTATCTACCATAACAGGTAGTTTTAGTGTTAGATTTACACCGGAGTTAGATCTTGAACATGATCTCTTAAACTTTAATTTTGTTCTCAGCCTGGCAATTCTCTTAAAAATTCTCAATTGAAGCTCTCATACTTCCAAGATTTAAAGCACTATTCCTATTGAATGTTCACGCACGTATCTATTATAACAATTAGCTTTAGTGTTGGATTTACCCCAGAATTAGATCTTGAACTTGATCTCTTAAACTTTAATTTTGTTCTCAGCTTGGAAAGCTCTCATACTTGCATGATTTAAAGCACCAATTCTACCAATTGCTATTCCTATTGAATATTCAATTGTCCATGTATCTACCATAACAGGTAGTTTTAGTGTTAGATTTACACCGGAGTTAGATCTTGAACATGATCTCTTAAACTTTAATTTTGTTCTCAGCCTGGCAATTCTCTTAAAAATTCTCAATTGAAGCTCTCATACTTCCAAGATTTAAAGCACTATTCCTATTGAATGTTCACGCACGTATCTATTATAACAATTAGCTTTAGTGTTGGATTTACCCCAGAATTAGATCTTGAACTTGATCTCTTAAACTTTAATTTTGTTCTCAGCTTGGAAAGCTCTCATACTTGCATGATTTAAAGCACCAATTCTACCAATTGCTATTCCTATTGAATATTCAATTGTCCATGTATCTACCATAACAGGTAGTTTTAGTGTTAGATTTACACCGGAGTTAGATCTTGAACATGATCTCTTAAACTTTAATTTTGTTCTCAGCCTGGCAATTCTCTTAAAAATTCTCAATTGAAGCTCTCATACTTCCAAGATTTAAAGCACTATTCCTATTGAATGTTCACGCACGTATCTATTATAACAATTAGCTTTAGTGTTGGATTTACCCCAGAATTAGATCTTGAACTTGATCTCTTAAACTTTAATTTTGTTCTCAGCTTGGAAAGCTCTCATACTTGCATGATTTAAAGCACCAATTCTACCAATTGCTATTCCTATTGAATATTCAATTGTCCATGTATCTACCATAACAGGTAGTTTTAGTGTTAGATTTACACCGGAATTAGATCTTGAACATGATCTCTTAAACTTTAATTTTGTTCTCAGCCTGGCAATTCTCTTAAAAATTCTCAATTGAAGCTCTCATACTTCCAAGATTTAAAGCACTATTCCTATTGAATGTTCACGCACGTATCTACCATAACAGGTAGTTTTAGTGTTAGATTTACACCGGAATTAGATCTTGAACATGATCTCTTAAACTTTAATTTTGTTCTCAGCCTGGCAATTCTCTTAAAAATTCTCAATTGAAGCTCTCATACTTCCAAGATTTAAAGCACTATTCCTATTGAATGTCCACGTACGTATCTATTATAACAATTAGCTTTAGTGTTGGATTTACCCCAGAATTAGATCTTGAACTTGATCTCTTAAACTTTAATTTTATTCTCAGCTTGGAAAGCTCTCATACTTGCATGATTTAAAGCACTAATTTAACCAATTTCTATTCTCATTGGATGCCCATGCACCATCCATTGTTTATTGATAGGGAAATATGAAGCAACCATAGGCTTTGTTCTTCGAGGAATACAAGAATAGGCCAGCAAAAATAGCGTTTCCAGAACGATTTGTTTCGTTCCACAACAGAAATAGTGGGAATCAAATAGGGATATAAACGTAAATAGTAAAACCGACGGCGATGTAAAGGAATGCGCTCGTCTTGTGTTAAACAAGAGCATCGTTTCTATAACAATGCCAACACACAAGGGTATAAATAGCTTAATAGGACGTAATTACGGTTTATCGTGAGAAGAGTGCGAAAGAACAAAGCGACCATTGTTTGCCGATTCGAAAATGAAAATCCAACTAATTTAGTCGCAATTGTTTCCTACAAAATCACATTTAACTTAATACGTTTTAGGAAGAGAGCTAACACCACGCGAATGTGTTCACTTGTCGGTATGTGTGTGCCAAGCGACGTTTATCGCGCTTCCCACGGGGTGGCCGACATGTATAACGCATTAAAATTTTTAACAATCTATAAACCGTAACGTAATTTGCTCGCACGGCGTTCGGCACTCATCGGTATTTAACAACCAACGTCAGAATTGAAGATGGTTTATTACCCAAAAGCTTTCAATCTATCCAATAGCTTTAAGTAATATTAAAAGGGCTTCATACCAAGCCCAAGAACTGAGCAGAGGACACAAAATATAAAGAGACTTTTTAATTTTTAGCAATCGAAATCGTTTAATACTTGGAAGAAGATGATGCTGGCATTTTTCAGTCAACAGGAACTACTGTCCCTTCCATTCCGTCTCCTATTTTTGTCCCACCTAAACGAAGATTATGATCCTATAATTACTCATTAAAAACTGAACTTGTCACCCATGCAAAATTATATATATTTGTAGTACCTGTAAGGGCTTAGAAATGAAAAGGTATTAGAAAGAATAGGAGAACAGAGGACTCTGTAGAAATCAATAAGAAATAGGCGAGATAGATTGGTAGGACACCTTCTCAGGCATGAAGGTCTAGTCAGAGACATGTTAGAAGCAGAAACAGGAGTTAGGAGGGGTAGAGGGAGTCCTAGGTTAGATTAGTGTTCGCAAGTAGTTAAGAAGATGTGGGTTGTTCTAGTTTTAGGGAAATGTGACGATTAGCTCAGGATAGGAAAGAGTGGAGGTGCGTATCCAACCAGTCTTAGGACTGATGACCTTATGATGATGACCTGTAAGGGCGGGAAGTTATATATAGGGTATTTTTTACAAGTTAAAACAGTAAAATGTCATATTTCTTTTCTAACATGATAATTTCATTTGTTGCAGATGTTGCTTTCTGAGGTTGATTCCAATGCTGTTCGAGGCGGTGGATAGCTTTAGGGTAAGCTTTTAAAATTTAAGCATATCTCCGGTTCAATTTGTGGTAGTGATTGACCAGATTCTTCTGATAAAACAGCAGCAATTTACTGCAAATCTTGCCTTCCTAAATTGACCCGGATGTAGCTATAGTCACTAGCTGTCTCTAACTATGTTAAGTGTTTTGGCTTTTAAATGAAACATACTTGCTTTAACCCAAGGTTAATCCAATGTTTATGACTATTTCCGTAATTTACTATAGACCTCGCCTTCCTAAATCGACTTGAATACGGTTTGAAGTTGCAGATGAGTCTCAGTCAACTGATTTCACTTTTAAATGATACATTGTTTAATAGATTTACGGTTAACCAGATTTTTATGATTATTACAGTATTTTACTACAGATCTTGTCTTTCTCAATTGACTTTAATATGGTTCTATACGGTAGCTGACCCTAACTTAAATATTTTTACTTTCATTTTTTATGTAACTTGTGGGGGATGGTATTTTTATGATTATTCATATATATATGCTCAAGCCGGTAGGTAATTTTAAGTTAAAATTTTTGCTTTTGAATGTATCATTCATTCAACTTATGGTGAATCGGATTTTTATATTTATTAGGGTAATTTACGATCGAATTGTCTTCCTAAATTGACCTAAACACGCCTCAAGGCGGTAGGTGATTCTAAGTTAAATGTTTTCGCTTTAAAGTGATTATACATCGCAGATTTTATGTTACTAAAGTAATTCACTATACACGTCGCCTTCCTAAATTGACCCGAATATGATTCAAAACTGTAGGAGGCTTTCAATTAACTGTTTTTACATTTAAATGATACATTGGTACTTCAACTTGAAGTTAATCAACTATTACTGTGTTTTACTACAGATATCGCCTTCCTAAATCGCCCCGAATACAGTTTAGGACAGTAGTTGACAGTAAATTAGCTATTTTCACATTCAAATGATTAATTTTTTCTCTGTAGCTACGACGTATTTTTGAATTGTCAGAATGTTTCCAATCTGTGAGAAGAACAAATTGAACAGAAAGGTCATTGTTTTCCATTCGTGTAACAGAATCCAACTAATTCACGCTCCTGTTGTTCACGGCAAAACGTTTGTCGTAAATAAGTGTTTGTATAGATGGACGTGTGAATTGTACCTTCACACACATCATTCAAATATGCTACAGTGTGACCGAAAGTATTACATGCTACTTAATAGATGGAATAAATGTTTTATACCTACCATTCTTGATTGTATTTCTTGTATTGCCTTTAGGTTAGTAAACTTTTTCGTCTGTTTCATACATTTAGGATTCTCCCAATTTGTACTTTTCAAATATAAATAAAGCAATGTGGATTTATAAAAATTTCATGGACAAAACGTAAATATGGATAACATCGTATCATCGTTATATCGTAGTTAACGCCATTTGTAGAAGTATAAGTAGTCTTAAAAACAAAAGGAATTATTATAATTCTAATTGGTAGTAAAACTTATTAATTTGTTCGATGGCATAATCCTGTAATACTATAGATGGCTTTGTGCTGCTCTACCGAAATGATGGAAACTGTCTATGGTGTGCCTAGACAAAAATTTTCAGTCTCTCTCCAGTCTCTCAGAGTCTTTCAGCTTCTCTGAGAGTGTCTCTCGCAGTCTTTCACAGTCTCGCAGTTATTGCCTAGTTGCTTTTATGGATCTCTCACAGTCTCTGTATGAGAGACTCGAACGATAAAATTGTTAATTCAGAAATTCGAGTCTCTCACAGAGAGACTGAATGAATAAAACTGATAAATTGAGAGACTCGAGTCCCTCGTAGAAATACTGGGATCTCTGAAATATGTTGAACTTAGAAAATTTTAACCATGTCTATCGCGTCACCACTTAGTGAGAGATTCGAGTCTCTCGTTCAGAGATTCAAATATCTCGTTCAGACATTCGAGTCTCTCGTTCAGAGACTGGATACGAAATGAGGATCTCTCTATGAGTGACTCGAGTCTCTCGTTCAGAGACGCTAAACAGTTTTTTTGACAGTCTCTCCTCTCAGCGACACCAAAGAGACTCGATGAGAGACGAAGACCCGAGTCTCGCTTTCAGAGACTCTGAGAGACTGAACATTTTTATCTCGTGGTGCTAATGAGAGTAAAGATATGATATATATGAAAGTAACTGTAATTATAGACAATACAAACCGGCCGGTACCGCTGCAACCGCTATGTCCCTGCATTTTAAATCTGTAATTTCTTCGAAAATATTCATCTAAATTATATGTTGTAAAGGGCCATATTGATCTATATTAAATGTACAATGTATTTAAGGTACTTAATTGGGTAAGAATTAATGCTGTATTGCCTACAATCGCTTCGTAAATAAGTCATTATTTCTCATAAAAAGTAAAGGATAAAAATGGTTATTGTGGGTTATCCCTAAGAGATAGAC